TATTGAGATGCATAATCAGAGAAAGTTCAGAAAAGGACAATGGGTTTTTCTTGGCTGGAATTCAGAAGTTCTGATTACTAAGATAAGACAGCTTCCTTTCCAACACTAGATTCTTTCACTAAAATACTGGAAGTGCCTCAAAATTCATGTGAGCAAACGCTGAGAGGTATCATGTGTAAGGGTATCTTTCATTGTGCATTTAATGAAAGTTGTGCATTTAATGAAATCTGCCATTGGACAAACACAGTACCTAGAGAAAGAGAAGGAAAAAAAAAAAAGCTGGCCCAGCATCATCAGGACCACATCACTATGGCAGCAAATGCAAATAGTTTCAAAGGTCCTCCAAGTCACAGAATGGCACATAGACACAAGGACACGAGCCAGACCCAGTCAGCTAAAACAGTTTTCTTTTTTTGAGATGTGAGTCTTGTTACGTTGCCCAGGCTGGTCTCAAACTCCTGGGCTCCAGCAATCCTCCCACCACAGGGCCCCCAAGAACTAGAACCAAAGGCATCTTCCACCACGCCCAGCTCCAGTCTGGTAGCTTCTGTAAGAGCCGAGAAAGGAAATACATTAGGGCTTGTGGGCCAAGGAATCTTCTGATAAACTATCTAACTCTGTGGTTGTAGTGCAAAAGCAGCTAAGGGCAATACATAAGGAGTGGGCAGGGCTGTATTATTCTAATAAATTTTATTTATGGATTCTGAAATTTGAATTTGTCTGGGGATACTGGCCTATGCTTGTAATTCCAGCACTCAGGTGGCTGAGGCAGAAGGATTTTGAGTTCAAGTCACCCTAGGCTATATAAAGAGACCCTGTGTCTCAAAAAAAAAATTAAATTTCTTGAGTTTCAAGCTTATTAAATGTTATCCTCTTTTTAATTTTTTTTGCAAACACTTAAAAGCATAAAACAAACCTATTCATGGCTCATGGGTCATACAAAAACAAATAATGGACCAGATTTGGTCTGTTTCACAACCCATGATCTAGACAGTAAATCAAGCAGAGAAAGATTTAAACCATTTCACAAAACAACAGCCATTACTAGAGAAAGTCAGAGTCAGACTGGGGCAGTGTGTTATTCTTCATACAGTACACAAAATTAACCGAAGACAGTTTCCACGAAAAATTCAAGAGGGTGAAAAAGAGCCCTTACAAAGAAATTAAGTTTCTGACTGCATAGATAAAAAAACAATCACTACACTCTCTGGGGACAAAAATCTAGTGTTCCAGTGTACTGTCCTATAGTCTTTGGAGTTCTCAATGTGGGAAACTGTAATTTTACATGACTTTATACAGGAAGAAAGGAAGCAGCAATTTCACAATCAGATCAAGGCAGAGGACAGCAACAAGATGTTTACAATCAGTGAGGCGGGAACTGTACACTCTACAGGCCACAGACTCAGGGACAGGGTCATAAAATGGTGACCTCAGAGGCTGAAGCTAGTAAGGATCACTAAGTAATGAAACTAGCCATGTACAACAGTAAGCTGCCTGAGGAGACGATTTCTCAGCCTGCTGCTGATGAGAGACTGGCACCTCCGAAAGCTCATCACACATTAAAAACAAATCACCTGGGGCCGGGGATTTAGCTCAGTGGTTCTGCTGCCTGCCTTCCAAGCACAAGGTCCTGAGTTCAATCCCCAGTACCAAAAAATAAAATAAAATGGAGAATCAAAACAAAACAAAACAATACAAAAAACAAATCATCTGAAATAACAGATTACTGCAGAATAACTGAATCCTAGCAACCTGTGGCAACACCCTAACAGAAGGATGGAGGTCGCGCAGACGAGAACGACAGACCGAAGCTAAGACCCTTTCTAAGTTTCCCTGCCCTCCAGCCTCTCCTAGAGCAGAATGGACTCCACCTTCTACTGGGAACAGACACACCTGACCAGGTCGCCCTGGTATATGGTGCTCTGCAGCTGGGTCTCTCCTTGGAAATTAAGAAACTGCTGTTCCTATGTATTAGGTCTCTCATGACTTAGGACCTCTAAGTATAGCCATGGGTGAACTGATAAAAAAACTCTGTAGTTCTCCCACCCACTCGGTGGGACCAGGCAGTGGGCAACACCACAGAGGGATGCATAACCACTGAAGCCCTTTTGTTCAAACATCACTCAAACTGGCCTTCCTCACCTTTCCTGTCCTCACAGCAGGGGGCACAGCACTCAGAACTCTGGGGCCCGAGATCAGACTGCTCGGTTTGAACAAATCCCTCCTCTTTGGCCTCCTAATGAAAGTTTCTTTGGCCCCCTGGCCTCTTCATCTTGTAAAGAAGAGATGGAGGAGGGCTACAACTCCAAGAATCACTGAAGGATTAAACAAGGGAATGCATATGAAGCAGTGGGCTCGACGTCTGGCCCCTAGGAAACAAAGAGCTCCTTCTTGTTACTACCACTGTCATATTCTATATTATTACTGACTGTAACGATTGGAAATCTTTTTTTTTTTTTTTTTGTACCAGGGATCAAACTCAGGTCCTTGCACTTGCGCAGCAGGTGGAGAAATCACTGAGCTAAATCCCCGGCCCAGATTGGAAATCTTTTTGCTAAATTGGGCAACTAGCAACATTCTATAAGGTGACCTCTACTCACAGCTGCTTCCTCTTCATCCGAGGCTCTGAAGAGCACTTCCCTTTCTTAGGGCACTATGCTAATTCCAATTCAAGATCCCAAGCAACTGCACAAGCTCTTCAACCAAGGTGTAGTTGCTCTTCCTTCCATAGCTACTCTTCTGCCCACACAAGCACACCGGCTCATTCCTATCCCAACTTCCAAGTGGCCTCACAAGCAAATGCCCACTGCCTCAAAATTCCCTCCTCCCTTGCTAGCTCTTTTTTATTTTTTTGGTTTTTTGAGACAGGGTCTTGCTATGTACTTCAGACTGGCCTTGAATTCACTATGTAGTCTGGGCTGACCTGGAACTTGCAGCAATTCTCCTGCCTCAGCCTCCCAAATGCTGGGATTACAGGCATGTGCCATTCTCCAATAGTATGGCAAGTTTGCCACCTACTACTAGTTCCTGATGTAAGGAGTAACATTACCTGACATAGGACATACAGGTTGGAAAAATGCAAATTAAAACCCACAGTGAGATGCTACTTCACACCCATCCAATGGTGATGATAATAACAATAAAGACAAGTGCTGGCAAGGATATGGGAAAATTAAAATTCTCATACACCACTAGTAGGAATGTTAAATGGTGCAGCCACTTTTAAAGCAGTCTGGCAGTTCCTCAAAAGTTAAATAGAGAGCTGGGCATGGTGCCGCACACCTGTAATCCCAGCACTCGGGAGGGTGAAGGAGGATGATTGCCAGGGGTTCAAGGCCAGCCTGAATTACAGAATGAGACACTGTCATAAAAAAAAAAACAACAAAACACGTTAAATGGAGAGTTAACACATGATCCAGCAATTCCACTCCTAGGAACGTACCCAAAACTGAAAACACAGATTCACACACAAAACTTATACACAAGGGGCTAGTGATATAGTTCAGGGGTAGAACACTTGCCTAAGCATGCTCAAGGTGCCCTGGGTTCAATCTCTAGCACCACAAAGGAAAAAAAAGAAGAAAAAATGTACACAAATGTTCCTAGTAGTGTTATTCACAACAGCCAAATTGGAAACAACCTAAATGCCACCAATTAATCAGTGGATAAAGAAAATATGGGATATCTACAGAATGAAATACCATCTGACAATAAAAAGGAATGAAGGGGGCCAAGGATGTAGCTCAGAGGTGCAGTACCTGCCTGGCAAACACAAGATCCTGAGTTTGATTCCTGGTACCAAAGGAAAAAAAAAAAAAGAATGAAGTAATGGAAATGTTACAGCACTCATGAACCTCGAAAACATCCTGCTACATGACAGAAATCAGACACAAAGGCCACATGGCATGATTCTATCCAAAATGTCCAAAACAGGCAAATCTGTGGAGGTACAAAGCAGACTGGTGGTTCCCCAAGACTAGAGGGTTAGGAGGGAATGGGGATGACTGCTAGTGGGCAGAGGGTTTCTCTGTGGGGTGATAAAAATGTTCATCAAATTGGTTATGGTGATGGGTGCATAACTATGAGTATACACCAAAACTTCCAGTTATACTTGCTGAAGAGGTAAATTACAAGGTCTGCAAATACGTCCACCACGGTGTTATGTAGTAAGACCAACCAATGTTCACTAAATGAACACAGACAAACGACCTAGAGAGGAGCGCTGGGTCCCTTGGGAGCAGGAGGAGTTATGGGAACAAAGCTAGCCAGCAATCTTAGGAAAATTAGTTAAGGGTACCCTCAAAACAAAACACGACAAATCTATTTGTTAAACCCAGTCAAGTATCTGTTAGCTTTTCATGTGACTCTAAGACATTTTTATTTTCTTAGTCATAAGCCATAAAAATGCAGTATCTTACAGATGCACATTTAATGTTTTCTGTAGTCTGGGCAGGCCTTATATTGTATCATAAGTTATGGTGCTAATCATAACTATCAAATTGAAGTCATTTATTTATTCCACAACCTTTCTTTTTTTGTTTTTGTTTTTGGTACCGGGGATCGAACTCGGGTCCTTGTGCTTGTGCAGCAGACGGCGAAATCACTGAGCTAAATCCCCGGCAAGCTTTCTTTTTTAAAAAAAAAGACATGGGGGCTCCACATTGCCCAGACTGGCCCTGAACTCCTGGGCTCAAGCAGTCTTCCTGCCACCTCCTTCCCAAGAGGGTGGGACTACAGGCACCCGCCGCCACACCCGTCTCCACATTTCTCATATGCCCGGTGTGGTGTGTCCTAGTGTCAGGGGTGCTGAGATGGCTGACACACCAGCCCTGTTCTCAAGTAGCCTGCAGCAGAGTGAGCTGAGAGGACACTCCGACTTATATGGCTACCAGTGCAATCAACTTCTGATGAATATGCTCCAATGAAGATGATGACACAAGGTAATCAAGAGTGGTTACTATCATCCCTACAGTGACCTATACTAATACAGTGTTGCCTACCTGTTGACATGCTCTTCCCAGTCCTCTGGCGGAGGCGGGGCATCCGCATCAGTCCTGGCAAAGATGACATGCCGTTCACACTCGTTCATCACACTGCGTGCCTTCTGATTGTCATAGAGTGGTACAGGAGTTGATGTGACGGTCTCCACATCTATTGGGACATCTGATTCACTGGAAGGTAACAGGTGAGGAAGGCCACACACACGTCACACATGACAGGTGTTTAATGATCACCTGGCTGCCAAAAAAAGCCTCTTTAATACAGTCAGCTTTAAATAATGCAGAAGCAAATTACATACACAAGAAAATTTTGGTCCAAAGCAATTTTCTCCCCCTTGTCTAGATCTCTACCTTCTCGGTGACATGTTGTAGAACACAAAGACATTTTAAAATGAGTCTATATAAAAAATTACACACAGCTACTTAAAACAAAAAAAAAGCAGATAACTGGCTGCCAAAACACACTGTTCAAAGAAAGAAGTTAAACACCATACGTGACATAAATATGAATTAATAAAATCAAACAGAATTTAAGATTCAGTTCCTCAATCATACTAGCCACATTTCAAGTGCTCAACAGACATATGTGGCTCTGGGCTACCAGATTGGATGTCATAGGATTAGAACACTTCTATTATTGCAGAGGGTTCTGCTGGACAGCACTGGTCTAGTTTTACATTATTCATATAAACTTTCCCTTTCATTAGCAAGTCAACTGGTACTTAATGCTATGCTTGTAAAAGCCTGTGACTCCCTGAGACACGTCACCCGGAATGTAGACACCTGAGCTATTTAACTCACTTTGTAAAGAGCCTAAAACAGAAACAAACATAAGTGGGTTTCTGAAGGATCTTTCACATTTTAAAATGATGTTAGTGAAATTCTAGTGCCTAAGAGTTCTTCTCCCACTTCATGGTACAGTATACCGAACCAACTTGGCTGCCTAAATACGATGCCAAATAAATTGGCCTACTGGCCATTTACTAAACATCATGCTCATTTGTTGTTGCTGTTGTCTTCTTGAGACAGGATCTCACAAGGTAGTGCAGGCTGGCCTTGAACTCACAATGTAGCCCGGCTGGCCTCAAACTCGCAGTGATCTCCTGCCTCAGTCTCCCAAGTGCTGGGATTATAGGCATGTGCCACCACTCCTGGCACATCATGTTAATTTTTGAGCTTGATGATCTTATTACATCCATTCTCAATGACTAGAAGAATTATATCATTTTGAGATGAAGTGAAATAAATGTGCAGCTAGATGTGGTGGTGGGTAACAAGTTGATTATCTTCTCTGAGTCAAATACTGGGCTAGCACTTGGACTCAAACAGCTAAAATACGAGTCTTGGTTTCACCAACACAAACTATCCTCCCCAGTCTTTCCCAACTCACGGTTCCAGTCAGCTGCTCAAGCCAAAAATGTAAGAGTCATCCTAATTTTACCTTTCCCCTTAACCCTGGCCCATCCTTCTAGCTCCTCACGGCAGGTCCTGTTGGCTGGACCTATAAAACAGCTTGAGGCCATTTTCTCTGTGCTATTCCCTCCCCTAACCAGGCCATCATGATTTCTGGATCATCGCAGGCTACTACAATAGCCTGTTTTACTAAATTCCACTCCTATACTGTAATCTATTTTATAAAATAAAAAGTGAACTTTTTGAAAATATAAATTGGATCTCGACCTTAAAATCCTTCAATGATGTCTAGCCACTCTTAGAATCAAATTCCTAGGTGAGGTAGCCTTGGTCAACTTCTTCCTTTCTCCCACCCCCACTTCTATTGCCCCCACAGTCTAGCTACAGTGGTCCAAAGGAGTTCCTCTAATATACCAAATTCCCTGCTCGGGGCCCACATATGAAGACAAAGCTTACATAAGAAAACAATTTCCTAAGCATCAAAACAACCAACTGTATAGAACTTCAATTTAAGAAAATGTCAGGAGATATGAACATATGCATTTCAACATCAGCAAGAATCTTAACATAGCAGAGAGAAAGAGTTCATATTCTATTTAAAGGAGTTTTTAGTTATACCTCAGGCCAGGGGCATCAAGAAGATTCTAGATTATTCCTTAAAGTCGCAGATCCTGTGCCTTATATAACCAAAAAAGCCAACAAAATACCAACATTATTGAGAAATGAAATGAAAACTACTATTCTACATGTGTTTAAAATATATCATGGTCCCTCTAACTCACTAAAACTCAATAGGGGGCTCTGAAGCAAAATATAAACTAAACAACTATCCCCAACAAAATCTAAAACCTGTACTTGAGGAAAGATTAAACATTAAGTCAGATTAACAGGAAAAAACCCCCAAAAAACAAAACAAACCTTCTTCTCCCACAGTTTATAATTAAGGGCATGATTTTAGCTAGGTGTGGTGGTGCATGCCTGTGATCGGAGCACTTGGGAGGTTGAGGCAAGAGGATCATGAATTTGAGGCCAGCCTAGACTACAGAGTCCTTGTCTCAAAAACAAACAAATAGCATGGTTTGATTATCAGAACAGAATACAGAAACAAATCCTGAAATACAAGAAATCAAGATGCCTTAAAGCCCCAAAGAATTGCCAGGCTGGTTTATTTAGGGCAAGTATAATTGTATCATCTATCAGGTAGTTAATCTATGAAACTTCCTTTCTCTATAATGTAGCCCTGCTGAAAATATAATTAGACCTAAGAAGGGTCCAGATTAACCCCTGCCTTGGGAATTTCCTCCTAACCTTTGTGTCTGAAGCCAAGAAAAGCAAAAATGCACTTTATAAAAGGGCTGTTGTTGCCACTGTCACACAAAGCAGAACACTACACTGAAGTGGTGGAAAAAAAAGTCTAATCCTGTGCAATGGTCCTTTAAAATCAACTTTTTAGTCTTTCTCAACAATTTAACCCTGTTCAACGTCCTCTTTGTTACCTAAGTGGAAGAAGTTGTCTGCTTTCCTCTGTGTGTCTTCTCTAACTCTTGTTAGATGTCCCATTGGCAGATGTCCACACTTAGGGTGATATTCTTATGTTGGTTCACAGAGATGACTGAATTAAACAGCCAAGCTCCCTAGCCAATGTCCCATGAAAACCTTCCCTCATCCCCACCATCTCATCACTGCCCACCTGGGTGGTGGTCACCTTAGGAAAGAAGCCCAAACTCACATGGTATTCTCTTGCTGCCGACGGGGAGTAACAAAGAGCATGCGGGTGGGGCGGGCGCTACTGGCATCTGGATGGGCGCTCCATGGCTTGGCATAGCTATGATCCAGAAAAACCAGGTCCAGCTCCCGTTCATGCACTGACAGCTGGAAGAGCAGGGAGGTGCCCATGCGCCGAGCTGAAGTCTGGAAGTCCCTTTCCCCACCCCGGTGGGCCATGTCAATGGAGGGGCAGCAGGTCAGAGCATGAGGATCTGCATGCTAATCACCTGCATTGAAAAGTTTAAGTCAATACAAATATTCTCAATGTCTCCCAACCTGGATTAAAATGCTGACTTTGGTGACCTAATATCATTCATACTGAGGATCTATATCAAACAGCACACCTCTGCCCAGGCAGGGAGGGCTCTTGAGATACACCACCACCATCACACAGGCAACGATGCTTACAGTTCCTTTTCATCTCTACAAAATGTGCTAACTGGAGAGTTGAAGGACTCCACAGTTGGCAAAGATCTCACCTGGACAGACACCAAAGCTGAGAGCTAGTACCATTACCTACAGGGTTGGGGTGGGTTTGGGCAAACAATAGAAATCACAAGTATGAATCCTCAAGGCTCAGGATCTCGTTTCCATTGTCTAAAGAGAATGTGAACAGAGTGGGGCCCGCCTGTAGGCAACCCCATAAGACCAGGGCAAGGCGGGCTGCAGGAAGCTAATTACATCAAAGGCTCCCTCCCCTCTCTGGTGCTAGGGTCAACAGAAGTTTTGCAACCACTTCACGACACTGTGAAGTTTTGAAAATACAAAAACGAGAGCTTCCCCTACAAGGCCTGTATCAGGACGACACCCCTGAAAGTCCCTTCTCCCTCAACCCGGAGGGAGACCACGAAAGCCGCCGGGCACTCCAGGCACCCCGCGGGTTCCAGCCCTGGACCTCAAAACGGCCCTCGCAGGAGGCAGGGCTTCGGATCCCATTTCCCCGCCCCAGGGCCTGGAGGGCCGCGCATCCCAGGTCGCCCAGAGTTCGCGACAAGGAGGAGCCGCCCGGGCGTCACCTAGGCCCCCGCCCGCCCCTGGCCCAACGCTCCTGGCCTGAGGCTCCAGCCCCGGACCCCCGCATGCCTGGGGAGCCCTGAGGCCTTCGCTCAGGGCCCTCGCCCGCCCCGACCCCGGCCGCGACCCCCAGGGCCCGCCACCCCCGCGGGGACCGACGCGCGTCTCACCCGCAGTCGTCGGCCGCGCGCTCGCCCGGGCCGGACCCCAGCGCGCGTGCGCGCCACCGCCTCCCGGGCGCCCAGGAAAACGCGGAAACGGATCACTGCTTAGGAAGGGAGGGCCGTGAGCCGCAAAGCCCGGAAAGGATTAAGCTGCGACGACCTGGTCCGCTAGAGAGGAGCCGACAACGCGCGCGTCTCTGACTCAGAAATATCGAGCCCCTGCATTTTCAGCTGGGGCGGGGAGGACCAAGGACGTGGATGGCTCTCACAGCCCCCACCCCCACCCCAACTGGTCCTTTGTGCTGTCTCCTCCCTACCCCTATATACTTCTTAAGAATTTCCCCTTCCCGGGTGTGGTAATACACGCCTATAATCCCAGCATCTGGGAGGCTGAGGCGGGGAGGATTGCCTTTTGTTCGAGTCTGGGCTGTGAGCCTGGGCTACATAGTGAGTTCAAGGCCAACCTGAATTAGAGCAAGACCTTGTCTCAAAAAAAAAAATTCCCTCTTTACTGGCGAGGCAGCACCTGCACATGATTACAGCGACTAGGAAAGCTGAGGCAGTAGGATTGCAAGTTTGAGGCTAGCCTGAACAACTTTTCAAGACCCTGTCTCAAAATGTTTTAAAGTTTTTAAAAAATATACAATAGACATTAGGAAATGGGAAGAAAATATTCAAATGAGAAGAGGAATGGGGTGAGAGAAGGGACAAGAAAAAAAATCAAAGGGAAAAATGGAAACAAAGCTTTTGTACATAAAGGAAAGGGGAATGGGGGGGGAGGAGAAGCACCATATATCATGTACTGGTACAAATTCCCTACGATGAATGTTATTATATATGTCTAAAATATGCTAATAAACGTTTTGCTAAAAAAATAAATAAACTGGGTATAGTGGCACATGCCTGTAATCTCAGCACTTGAAAGGGTCACCATGAGTTTGAAGCCAGCCTGGGCTACATAGTGAGTCCAAAGTCAGCCTGAACTACACAGTGAGACCCTGTCTCAAAAACAATTTTTTTTTGTATAGCCAAGCATGGTGGCACACATCTGTAATCCCTGCACTTGGGAGGCTGAGGTAGGAGGATCCAAGTGAGTTCAAGGCCAGCCTGGGCTACATAGTGAGACCCTGTCTTGAAAAAAGAAATTTTTTTTAAAGGATGGAGGTGTAGCTTAGTAGTAGACTACTTGCATAGCATGCTGGATGCCCTGGTTTCATTTCCCCAACCCTGAAAAAAATTACTCTTAATATTAGAAACAACCACAGTAGAAATTTGAAAATGAAAAACCAAAAAGTTGCTGTGAGCCAAAAACTGCCCTAAAAAGTAAAGTCTAGGTACAAGCATCCAATGATAAATGTAAACATATTGTATACCTAAAATGTATCAATAAAAGAATTAAAAAAATAATAAAGTCTATTAAGCCAGGCATTGTGGCTTGTCATCCCAGGCTGAGGCAGGAGGACTGCAAGTTCTAGCTCAGCCCAGAAAATGTAGACACCCTGTCTCAAAATAAAACCTAAAGCCTATTAAAAATAAATACTTAGGGGCTGGGTATGTAGCTACAGTGGTAGCATGCTTGGGGAGACGCTGGGTTCATCCCCAGCACTACAATCAATAAATATATATATATATATATTTTTAATTATGGAGCGCTTTGCTGAGTGTGGATCAGAACTAGCCATGTCTTCTCCATCCTGCCTCTCTTCCTGGGGGACCTACAGCTTCCATTTGGCCTTCATTCCCTCACAAAGTTTCTTAAACTCCTGCTAGTGCTAAGGACTATGGTAGATGCTGAGGATACAGTACTGACACACATTCTTCTTTAAAAGGACATAAACAATTGTTTAATTTATAATGTTGATACTAAGGTTTAGCATTGAGAGAATGCCAAACAAGTTCTAAACACATAAATCATATCATTAAATCTTCTCAGCAGCTTTACATACTACATTCTATTATAATCACGTTCAGAGAGGTAAAGTACTTTTCCCAAGGACACACAGCCAGTAAGCAGCAAAGGCAGAAATTGAACACAATACAGCTGAGTGGAAAGGGACAATGTTGGAGAGAAAGACAGGGCCCACAGCCTACGGGGCTGTCTATGTGTCCCATTAAGGACTTTTGTTCCTGATGATAGATAGCTCTGTGTTGCTGACTCTCCTAAGTGTTTGTATGAAGACAGAATATCCTCAAAGTCAGGCCTGTTCACTTCTTTGTATCCTCCAGAGAGAGCAGCAAGGAGAGCAGAGGACACAGATAATGGTTCATATGTCCGACTGATCAGTGATGGCTAATTGCTTGACTGACTGACAGCAGCCACAAGACATGAGACAAGAGAACTAGAGACCTGGTTCAAGGTGAAAAGTAAATTTTTTCCATTTTACATCTGCTGGGATAGCCAAAAAAGCAACAATGACACAACAGCAGAAAAACGAATGCTAAAAAGTGTTAGCAGATATAGAAAGAAATGAAATTCCTTTGGAAAGTTACTGGCAAGTTACTCAGAGAGTTAAACTTGGAGTTAGCATATGATCATCAAGTTAAGCTTGGAGTTAGCATTATGATAATAGCATTATTTGTAATACCCAAAATATGGAAACTATATAAAAGTCCATCAACTAATGAGTGGATAAACAAAATGTAGTTGTGTTAGTCACTTTCCTGTGGCTGAGACATGATACAAGACATCTACAACTTAAAGGAGAAGAGGTTTAATTTGGCTCATGGTTTTGGAGTTTCAGTTCATGGGCAGCAGGCTCCAAGGCAGAAACCTCATGTCAAAGCATAGATGCTTAGTTTATGGTAGTTGGGAAGTAGAGCAGGGGTACAGTGCCAAAGAAGGACAGGTGAAGGACCATATATAGTACCACCCAGACACACTAATCAACGTGCTTTACCAATCTGCTAGGCATTTTGTAACCCAATGGAAGCTAACCTATCAGAATCAATGGTTGCAGTAGTATATTCATACAATGGATTTACTCAGCCACAAAAAGGAAGGAGGTACTGATGTGTCACAACATGCATGAACTTTGAAAACATGCTAAGACTGATATGAACTTTGCCCAGGTTTTCTTCTGGAATAGTTCATATTTTTTCTTATTGAATTATAAGAGCTCATGCTATAAAAGCAAATAGCCTTTTGGATTTTAAATATCTTGAAAATGTTTTTCCTACTTTGATATTTATCTTTTAACTTTAAGGTCCATTTTCTACACAAGAATATTAAATTTTAGCCAGTCAAATACGTCAGCTTTTTCCTCTCTGGGGTCTTTTGTGCTATGCTTAGTTTGGAAAATCATTAACAAGCTGGATGTGGTGGCATAGGCCTGTAATCCCAGAACTCTGGGATGCTGATGCAGGAGAATCACAAGTTGAAGCCCAGCCTGGGAAATTTAGCAATCTAGTAAAACTCTGTCTCAAAATAAAAAAGAGTTGGGATGAAGTTCAGGGCAAAGGTCCTAAGTTCAATTTCTTTCTTTCAAGGAAGAAAGAAAAAAAGAGAGTCATTGCATTGTATTTAGAGTTTTTAAAAAACTACCAAGAAGTACTTTTTTTCTTTAAATCTGCTGTCTAGAAAGCAATGTTAGCACTGTGATCTCACATCCAGCTTTTAATCTTTGAATGCTATGCACCTTTTAGAATACACAGGAAGCTTACTGCTGATTAGTTTGTCGACACACACTTCAAAAATATTAACTTTCACTCTATCCAATGGAGAAGGTGTAATTTATACAATGTTCAGTGCTGAAGCTGAAAGGCCTTATCTCGTGTGGACAACAGAAGCAAATGACCTAGCTACATCCTTATGGGCAGAGGCTTTGAGAGCAATAGACAGTCACAGGAAAATTATGGGCTTATGGGTTTTCTTTAACTTTTACAAACCCAGCCAGCATAAGAGTTCACTAATTGGGCCGGGGATTTAGGTCAGTGACGCCATCGCCTGCCTCGAAAGCACAAGGTCCTCAGTTTGATCCCTGGTACCAAAAAAAAAAAAAGAATCAGAGTTCATTAATCAAAGCACTGTTTTTCTTAGGGGGGTGTGGTGATGCATGCCTATAATCCTAGCATTTGGCAGACTAAGGCAGGAGGATCCCCATGAATTCAAGGCCAGCCTGGCCTACATAGTGAGTTCAAGGCCACCCTGGACTATATAGCTAGACTCTTTCTCAAAATTAAAAAGCTGACTTTCTTTTATTAAATAAGGACTCATATCTAAAAAAAGGAACCGAAATGTTTTGCTTCCCCACTAGGAAGGACTTCCCCTGAGACCTCATTGAAATAGACTTTGATTTCCCTATGCCTTTTCTCTCATGGCCTTACTTCTTCTATTTCATCATTTAAATTGTGTGACTTTGGCAATGGTTCACTCCTGTAATCAACTTGCCTGTATAAAGAAAAAAAATTCTTATGCCTGGTCTTGAAATCAAAAGCACAGCAAGAGTGGGAAAAGAGAAGAGAAAGGAAATGGCAAAGCAACCTATTGCTGGGCTTCTGTCACATCACACCACTGGCTTTGTGCAGACTGTCCTGCTCCCTACTGTCCTTCCTGAGATTGGGCCCCAGAACTGAGAACTGCCCTTTTGTGACATCCCCGCTGTTGCTAGGCCCCATCACCACCACCACTGGGAGAAGCCTTGGACCAGAGAGTTCCAAGAAGAAGCTGTAGCGCAGCGGAGGGAAGGAGGGGAGGACAGAGACCGCCATGCTTCGGCTGGTGGTGGAGTCGGCCAGGATTGAGCCGCCCCTGAGCCCCCCACCCAGACCCTGCCTAACTGTCTACTTCAGAGGTGAGAGCCAAGCTCCCAGGAAGACGGAGCCCCCAAGACAACATGTATTCAGACAACTGGTGTCCTGCTGTGTAAAAGACGCCCTGCATTGACTCAGTGAGGAAGTAGATGCTGGCCAGCTCTCCAACAACCTGTCCGTCCTCTAAGGACTGGGCCTTTGGCTCAGTGGGAGGACACTTACCTAGCATTGTGAGGCCCTAAGTTTGATCCCCAACACCACCAAAAGAATCTGTCATTTTTGTGGCTATGATGTCTTTTCTTACCATTTTTTTTTTAGGAAACGGTTGTGGGAAAAGAAGAGGTTAACACTTGTTAACCTTCTTCCATGAACTAGTGCTGTGCCATAAACAGGTTTAAAGAAAGAAAGGTTCTGCTGGGTGTGGTGGCACATGCCTGTAATGAAGCTCTTGGGAGGCTGAGGCAGGAAGATCACTGTGAATTTGAGGTCAGTTTGGGCTACATAGTGAGTTCAAGGACAGCCTGAATTACATAGTGAGACCTTGTCTCAAAGAAAGATGGAAGGAAGGAAGGAAGGAAGGAAGGAAGGAAGGAAGGAAGGAAGAGATCCCTGCTTCATAGGAGTAATAGGAGGATTTAAAAAGATAACAAGTGGGACATGGTGGTGAGGCTGAGGCAGGAGGATCACAAGGTCAAACCCACCCTAGGCAGTTTATCAACATGAGACTCTTGTCTCAAAATAAAAAATAAAAGAGGACTGAGGATGTAGCTTAGTGCTACGTCCTGAGTTTAATCCCTAGTATGACCTCCCCCCAAAAAGATAACACACAGATGGCCCTCGAAATAACAGCTACTAATAACTTCTCAATAATATTAATTACTTTCTAATGAGCTTTTTTGTTTGTTTGGGTTTTTTTTTTTGGTACTGGGGATTGAACTCGGGTCCTTGTGCTTGCGCAGCAGGTGGTGAAACCACTGAGCTAAATTCCTGGCCCCTTTTTTTTTTTTTTTTTCTTTTGAGGCAGGGTTTCTGCTATGTAGTTCAGGCTGGTCTTCGGCTCACTATGTAGCCCAGCCTGGCCTTGAACTCTCCAACTGCCTTTGCTTCCAGAGTGGTGGGATTACAGGTGTGCACCACCATTTCTGGCTTTGAATGAGCTTTAAAATTGGCAAAGCCTTTTCATTAATAAAATGGTGTTTGCTCCTCACAGTAATTCCACGAGGTAAATGAGGCAGAGTTTATTACCTCTATTTCCTTTATTTATTTATTTTTTTTTTAGTACCAGGGATTGAACTTGGGTCCTTTCGCTTGCACAGCAGGCGGCGAAACCACTGAGCTAAATCCCCAGCCCCTCTATTTCCTTTAGATGAAGAAAAAAAAATCCAAGAAGGCTGAGGAGGAGCAGGGGTGAAGGATTTATGGGAAATTAAGTATATTTAGATGTCAAAGACCTGGGAGCCAAAAAAGAGATGAAAGAAAAACCACAGTGAAAATCTATTGAGTGAGAGTATGAGAGGCGGATCCAGGCAGGTGAGGGCTTCCAGAAATGGTAGGGTGTGAAAAATCCAGGTCCAAAAGAAAAGAGGACACAGTACAGTCAGCCTCCATATCAGTGCCTCTGCATTGTGAATATAACCAAACACAAATCAAAAGAATTCTGGTGAAAACTGTGTCTATACTGAACAGGTAAAGGCTTTTTCTTGTCATTATTCCCTAAGCAGTACAGTACAGTAACTCTTTCCGTAGCGTGTGTACTATATGAGGTCTTGTAGGTCAGCTAGGATGATTTACAGTTATTTGGAGGGATGTGTATAGGTTTGAATAATATGTAAATGAGATACAAATGATACACAAACACCATGCCATTTTATACAGGTGACTTAAGCATGTATGGATCTTGGTATCTACTGGGGAGGGGGGCCCTGAAACCCATCCCCCAAGGACACTGAGAGATGACTCCAGGTCCTACAAGAGAATGAAATTCCTTTCAATTTTTTCCTGGTCTTTAAAACTATGACAATGCACAGAGAGGGAACATTTAGGACTCTGGGCTCACTGGTTGACATCCACTTGTGTCCCCAGTCTGCAGATTTATAGAGTTGGAAGCTCAGCATGTATCTGTCCTGATGGACTAATTTTAGGATTGGCCAGGCAAGAGACTTGCAGCTCCTCTCCCTGATCCAAGCCATCCTCACCTCTGCATCACAGGCATCATTTTTCTTTCCCCTCCTAGAAATATCTTTCACAAAAATGCCTAAATGCCAGGTGTGGTGGCACACACCTGTAATCCCAGCACTTGGGAGGCTGAGGCAGGAGGATGGCTGTGAGTTTGAGACCAGCCTGGACTACGTAATGAGTTCAAGGCCAGCTCCACTACAAAGTGAAACCCTGTCTCAAAAAAACAATGAAAAAAATTATTTTGTAGGATGATAGCCTGTCTTCTGTTAAAAATATTTCTGAAGGAGAGAGATTTTAGTTGATAGAGAGTTTGGCATCCATTATTGGATATCTCAAGGTCATGGTAAGGTTTGGCCTACTTATAAATAGGCCTAAATCTCAAGAATTTTTTTTTTTTTTTTTTTGGTACCAGGGATCAAACTCAGGTCCTTGAGTTTGCGCAGCAGGCAGCAAAACCACTGAGCTAAATCCCCAGCCCCTAAATCTCAATAATTTAACAATGAAAGTTTACCTCTTCCTCATACCCACTCCTGTGTGGGTAGCACTGATCAGGGAGGTCTCCTGCATGGCTTCTCTAAGCAGCAGTTTGGGGACCAGCTGCTGTCCCTTGTGGCTGTGCAGTCAGCCCTCTGCCACTGGGTCATGAGGTACCTGTGGAGAGCAGGGAAGGGGAATAGATACTTGAGTAGAGATTGTAGGATCCGGGCCTAGCACTACAAAGGGGTGATTCCTATAACCCAGTGGTGAGAGTAAGCCACATGGTCCCTCTTGCTGCAAGATGCTGGGAAGAAAATGAAATGAACATATGGCATGGTCCAGCCCATAGGGTGATGAAAAATGAGAAAATGTGCAGCTCTCAAAGAAAGAAACAGTCAGTGCTGCATCCCACCTGCCAATGGAGACATGAAGATTTCTTCCAGGTCTTACCTCTCTTGACCCCACTCAAGCCCAGACACTGAAACACCCTTGGTGTCTTTGCAGATATCAAGAAGAGAACTCGTGTAGTGGAAGGGAATGACCCCACGTGGAACGAGGTAGACACACCAGGGCAGGCCCTGAAGAGGAACCAACAACCTCAACAGCCAGGGGAAAGCCGGGCATGGTGGCATATACCTGTATTCCCAGCACCTGTAGAAAGGGATGGGGATGTATCTCGGTTTGAAGGCCCTGTGCTCAATCCCCAGCTCCAAAACCAAACCAAACCAAACAACAACAAAATACAAACCAATAAGGGGCAAGGAAGGGGTCAGCAGGGAATCCCCAAACTCTGCTAGAGGCTGAGGTGTCTTGGTCTCAGCCTCTGATCTGATAAGGCTGCAAAAAACACATCTGCCCATAGCTGTTCTTAGTCCGTCTCCTCCACCAGTGGGGATGGAATGGACCATGGTGTGGCCCATCAACTGATCCAACCAGGCTCTCTTGATGTATCTAGAATCTTGGAGCAGAGATGAGCCTCCCTGTGCAGCTCTCTTTCATCCCTGTCTGCCCCAGCCTCTAATCCCTTAGCTCCAGCCACCGAGCCACCAAGCTCCACACCTTGGGCCAGGCAGCAAACGGCAGCTTCTTAGGAAATTAGATAGGAGGGAAGCTCCTGAGTTTTAGAGAAATCAGCACTAGCCCATTCCCCATTTTCCTCCATGCCCCCAACAGACCCTCATCTGGCACCTGTGGAGCCGCCCCCTGGAAAATGATTCCTTCCTGCAAGTCATCCTTCGGGACATGGGCTCAAAAAAGAAAGAAAGGTGAAGTCGAGATAGGAGGAGCCTACTTCCTTGGCCAAAGAAGCAGCAGTGATATATCTCTTGTCTCTAACCTGTATTCATGCTGATGCAGGGACCAGAGCCCACTTCAGCCACTAAAGGAAAAAAGGGGATAGGGAAGGTAGTGGAAGGGTAATAAGCAGTGTGTTGTGTTATTTTTGGTACCAGAAATTGAACTCAGGACCTTGTGCTTGTGAGGCAGGCACAGTGCCACTGAGCTAAATCCCCGGCCCTGGAAGGGTAGGGTAGTAAGGATGGGAAAGCAAATCAGCTAGGAACTTGAGCCATACCTTTGTTCTGAAGCCACAGATCCCAAATCTCTGTTTCTCTCTACTGAACCCTGTTGTCCATCATACCCCATTCTAGAGCCCAACTGAGACTAAGCTTCCATGGAGGGTGAAGATGTAGCACACCAGGGTAAAGATTCCAGGAGAGAGAATCTGATTGGATCAGCTTTGGTCAGGTGTCCACCCTTGATCCAATCAGCCATTACCTTTTAGAATACAAAGCCTTGCGCCCTCTGATGGATTCACCACCTCATTGGCTTCTTCAGCCTCTGGGTGAAAACCATCTCTAGCTAAAGCAATGCCTGGTACAGAGGCAGACACCCTTTCCCTGGGCTTGCATCTCACACCTGCTCCTTGCCTCCCCAGGTTCATTGGGTTGGCCACAGTCCTGCTCAAGCCATTGGTGAAAAAGCCCAGGGAGGTCCTTTTCGTGAAGGACCTGATTCTGCTCAACCATTCCATGATGCCCACAGATGTGAGTCAGGCCCAGAAGGGCAGCTGGAGAAACAGGAGCAGCTGATGTAGCTGAGCTTCTCTAGCTTCCTGCCCAGGGTCCCTATCCCCTGACCCCCCCACACACACACCTTCCATCTCCCATTTCCCTCCTATCCATCTACTGAGAAGGGTAACTGACCTTCCCTGGGTGCCCACCACTGTACTAGGCGCAGGGACACAAAATTGAATTTTTGCAGAGACTCAACAGCAGGCATGTGAGTGGGAAAGCTTGGTAGGGGGCAACAGGAAGGCTTCTGGTGATCCCTGGTTGGAGGCTGTTGGCTTAGGGCAGCAAAGGTAGGATAACTAAAAGCCCAGTATTCCATGTGATTGGTTTGGGGTGCATATCTGGCTTTCTCTGGTTGGTTCTAAATTGATAGTGGGAACAAAAATTAGGCCAGCTGTCAGTTTGTTAATTAATCATGAAGCCCTGGCCATTTGGGTCCAGTCGGTTTTGTTTGACTTCCTGGATTGTTTCGAGACAGCAGTCTGACTTCCTACAAGTCTTCTTGGACTGGTTGCCACAGATAAAGGATTGGGCTCCTGGCTGGTCACTGCAGATTGTGGTCAGAGCTCTGTCTCCATCTGTGGCCCAGCCACTGTCCATCTGTCTATGAAATAGCTCAGAAGGCCAGGTGTTTTCCTGATGGGCAGGAAAGGGAGGTGAACCCAGGCAAAGCATCAAGGGCATGGAGAAAGGGGCAGGTCCGAGGAGGGCGAAGGGGAAAGGGACAGAGCTGAGGCTGGGTGGCTGACCAGGGACCTGAGGGGAAGAGTCTTTGGTCTCTGCAGCTTAGCACACCCTGTTCTGGACGGGTCCCACATCACCTCTCCCTCTCCTAGTCACCCTCTTGCATCTTCTGCCATCACCACTACTACCCGGCCCCCCTGTTGTCCAGATCTCACTGTAATCCACTGCTCTGTCCTCACCAGTTCATGGGCCCATGGTGTGGCCCTGTCCCATGCCAGTGTCACTGTCCCCAGGAGGACTGGCCAACAATCTAGCCAGCCTGGGGTGGGAGCAGGTGCTGTGGCTTAGCCAAGGGTTGCAGGGTCTGGCTAACAACTCCCTGGTCTTCTCTTGGCAGTGCACTGTCAGCCTCCAGGTGGCCCATGTGATGCCCCGGGACACTGAGAAGGAAGGTATGTCCTTCCCTGGCTCACCCCTGCCCTTCTGCAAGCAGAGCTGGACAGGTTTTTGGGACCTTTGAGACCCAGCCCTTGAGGTCTTTGGGAACACAGGAATCAGTTAGGGTGCCTGGAGGCCTCCTGTGTCAAGAGTCAGGTCCAGGGTGGTTATGAGGGTGGTGGAGCCCTAGGACCATCCTGGGAGGACAAGTGCCCCATCAGGAACTCCTAGCCATGGCTTTAGTCAGGAGCTGACCACTGAGGACAGGGGGTGAAATGGGGAAATCCTCCAAGCCTGCCAAGCTCCAGCCTCTGAGCCCAGCCTGTATCTCCCCAGGCGGTGGAGATCCCCTTGGCATGACCACCAGGGAGCTGGCCCAGGGGAAGCTCATGGTCCCTGGCTCTGCAGGGTTGCACAGGGCTCTGTCCTCCAAGCCTCAGCACTTTCAGGTGAGGACTGTCCAGGCTGAGAGTCCACATGGCCTAGCTGACACCCCTGCTGTGCTCCCAGGCTGTCTCCTCCCCCACATAAGGTCCAAGCTCCAGACCCAGCCTCAGGTCCTCGGGTCTTTACTAGGTCCCCAACTCCTCCCGGGCCATTCTGAGTAGCTTCTGCTGTGGCTGAATCTGGAGATAGCTCCAGTGAGGCATAAGGAGGGGCTGCTGTGGCTCAGCAAGCCCTGGTCAATGCTAGGAAGGCAGCACAGAAGGCACAGTCCTGCCTGTCCCAAGCTCTCAGATTGTTGACAAAACGAGGCGAGGCACATGCAAGGTGAGTCACTGCGCAGGAAGGCAGAGGAGTGAGGACGGGCTTTGGGAAGCCCATCCTGTGCCTCACCTACTTCCTTCTGATCCCAGCCTGGGGCCTCACATGCCTGCTGTGCTCTGTCTGCTCCCCAGCCTGCCGGTGCCCAGGAGGCAAAGTGTCAACTTGCCTGTCCCTCCTCTTGCATCCCTTATGGTTGCCCCCACCTCTGCATTGCCATTCTCTGCCCCAAGCTGCCTGTCACTTCTAGACCACCCCTCCAGATGGCCTTATCCTGAGCTCGAAGCCAGCAGCTCTCTCCTGTCCCTTCTTTGGTCACACTAGGCTCTCAAAGATGCCCTCTTGCCCTGTCATGCACTTGCTTAAAAAGCCTCAGTGTGGGCTGGGGATTTAGCTAAGTGGTGGTGCCGCCTGCCTTGCAAGTCCTAAGTTCGATCCCCAGTACCAAAAAAAAGCCCCAGTGTCCTGGGACAGACCTTGCTCCTTATACCGGCTGCCCTGGTCCTCAGACCCCATGCCCACATCTCCGGAGAGCTGGCTACCTGGGTTGGGTCTCCACATCCTCCCTCTGCAGGTTCGGGTGAAGGTGTTTGAAGCACGGCAACTCATGGGCAACAACATCCGTCCGGTGGTGAAGGTGACCATTGCAGGCCAGCAATACCACACACGGATCAAGATGGGAAACAGCCCTTTCTTCAATGAGGTGGGCTGAGCAGGGCCACTGGGCAGATGTGCTAGCCAGCAGCTGGGCAGCCCCTGGGCAGCAGTGTGGTTGTTTCCTGATGAAGAGGTTAATGCTTGTCCTGCAAGCATTAACTGAGCACCTACCTAGGCCTGAGCACTGTGCTTGGTACTGGGGGTATATTAGGGGTTGATTCAGAGCCCTGCATTGAGGAGCTGGGGTCTTGTGGGGACACAGCATGTGAACTCCCATGCACAGCAGGCCCAGCCATGCACATCCAGTCATGGCTGGAGCCCTGGACTGTGCCATTGCATGTGCTACTGTGTGAATCCTTGTTCAGGTGACTGCAAGTAGAAGAAAAGCACTATGGAATGTGGGAGGAGTAAGTCAATAATGAGCTGGGGCTTGGAGAGAGAACTCAGAAAACCTCCACCCCGGA